TTTTTTTTGCATGCTAGTTAACATTCGTGTCAGTCAGCTGTTGTGAAGAGGACCGTGGCTGTGATGTTGTTGACAGAAGTAGAACACATGTGGGGGTTAAGATTTTCCTGAAAGCTGGTCCAACTACATGAGAAAGTTGGACTTTAATTAAGTCCAAAGAAGGCAAAGAAAAACAAACACAAGACCGATAAATATATGTATACAAATATATGTATTAATAACAAGAAAGGTTACAAGTTACATGGACAGTTACATTGACAGAGTGTGTGTGGTAAATACATGTGTGTGTGTAGTGAGTGTGCATACGTACGTGTATTGTGCTTAGCGTGTTCCCAGCATTTGGGAAATGCTTTCTCTGTGAGCATTCACATCTGCGAGGTGGTAAGGCTGAAAGCCTGAGGAAAAAAAGAGAGGAAGAGGCAAAGGGTCATGACTATTTATAGCCAGGGAAGAGAGACCCCTGGTGAAAGGGTTAACGAACTAAAGAAGGAGTTAACTCTGACAGTTGGCTCTCACGCTGACCAATAGAATTTTCCTGCCTATTCGTGGCAGCCAGCTATAGGCTCTCTGGCCAGTAGAAAATGGCCGCAAACTACATGAAAACTGCCGTAGAAGAAAGAAAATCGATTATTTCCACTATCGATGGGAGTTGGGAAATGCAACGTCGGTCTTGGCCTTCCAAGCTAACTTGGAGCATATGCATGTAAATTTTGGTGCAAATCCGTCGAAAATTGCGGCCGTGCATTCGTTTTACACACACATCGTCATTCAAGACAAAACTTACACAAGTTAAACGTAAAGTTTAAACTAAGTTAAGTTAAACAAACTGTAGTAATTTTAAAAAATGTTTTATTATTTAAAAAACTTAGAAAAATTAAAATATTTCTGTTCATAGAAAAATAAAAGCTATTTGGTTGTTAAAATACATATTTCATACAATACAAACTTATGCTTAAGAAGAATGTTGTTAAAAAAAGAAACAGATTTTTTCCCCAGTTTAACAAGATAAATAAAAAATATCGAGTTCTCTTTCTGTTTTCTGTCTCGTTTCAAGTCACTCCTTCCTAGCTTTCTTTCTACTCTTCCCTGTAGCTTTCTCGAGTGCTGAAATCTTTTTTTTCTACAACGCCGCCACTAATTAATTAACTTAATCATCAGTTATCTTTCCTCCCACCCAGTTTTGGATACATGCAAGTCGCTTAATTAATTTAATTGTAATAAGATGAATTTAAGTAAACTTCGGTAACTTTCGATAGAAATCGTACTTTTGTAGGAGTGAGAAGTTAATGTGCAGTGCACTCACTTCGTCCAAAATTAAATTTAAAAATACAAAATTTGTACTTGTGAATTTTGAGATAGCTGAATGAAATGAAATCTTTGTTTAAACAAAAAAAATCGGTGGGGAGGAGCTAGATTTTTGGTTATGAACTAAAATAGATTTTTATCGAAAAATCAAGGGAAAAAATCTGATTGGCAACCCTAACCACTGAGTAGATTGCACAGTCCGTCCAGAGAGAGAAAGAAAACCCTTCTGCGCCCTCAACTGTAAGCCGACGGGCTTGTCGCGGTTAACTTTGCTTTGTTGACCTTTCTTACCATCTCGTACAATCTAACTTCCTTGTTGACACCCTCGATCTCAGTTCTCAGCATTGTTCATTATTAATCAGAAAATGTCGTCAGGTGGTTTATCTGACTGAGATGGTAGCAACAAGTAGCATGATACCGTGTAAAGGTCTGATTCGCTTTTCAATCTTGCAAAGTAAGGCTTTTAAATTCAAGAATATACAGTTTGATTGAAAGCGGATAACTTTGTACATGATGAAGGTATTCAGTCTACTACAAACTAGATTCAAATGTCCGATTGAAAACCAGCTGCGGACAAGACAACCATCAGCAAACCTTATCGAAAACTTTGGACTGATCAAAATTGATCATCGCGGCTTGATAAGTAAGCTAGTTATATTTCCCTATAATATACGTTGTTTGAATCGCTAGTCTGTTTAAATTGGATATTTTTGTAATGAACGACTGAAAAATGACCAAAGTAGTTTATCCCTTCATTTTTTATTCCCATCCACAACCCTGTTAGTTTCTGCTTTAGAATCAGATGGTATCAATAATATTTTTTCCTATGAAGATTAATTCAATTTCCAGTATCCAGCTATACTAGAATTCAGTTTCAGCCTACCTTCGGACGAACCTACGGTTCGAATATGAAAAAAATATTATTTTTAGCTTTCGACTCTCCCAACTGATACAATTTGAACGTTGCACTGAATCAAAGTTGTCCATGGCGATTCAAGTCAATGATTTGAGATGCTTACTTCGGAATTTATCGATGAAATTCGAAATAGCATTTTTACATTCAAATTATAAGTACCCTATCCTCTCTGCTTTATACCGGACATACGAGTCACACGCCGAAGAAGATTAATTAAAAGAAAAAAAAAGTACCTCTCTTTCCACTCCACTCATTTCTGAATTAGTGTATAAAAAAAGACGACGAATTTCTAAATACTTACCAAAAAAAAAAAACAAAAAAAAAAACCAACATTCTGTTAGAGTTTTAGCAACTATCTAAATATGGTGAGACGAGGTAAAACCTTTCCTTCAGAATGTACTCACAATCACTTGTAAACAACGTGTATCGATGTCCAGACACTGTAGATCACGAAGTTATCTCACTCTTTCCAACAATCGGTCATTCACACTTGCTAACCAGAGATACATTTCACAAAAGAAAGAGCATACCGGTGAAGAGTGGTAACGATAGTGACGGCACGCTTGATCAGATGTTCGTCGCGAACAAACTGACAAAAACGGAGAATTCTGCAAAGACGTAAGGAAAGTCTTTAACACTTTGAGAAGAATGCTCTTGAATCAGTGGGATGTCCGACGAGTTTTCCTTTTCTGCGAATGTTGCTATTTTCTTTGTCAGACATATTGGTCTAACGAAGAAAGTGGCGCTTCTTGTAAGTTTGAAACTTTGGATGAACGAGGTTGTTGATTTGGAATTTCTCTGGGTTGGCAAACTGGTATTTAACAGTATTTAGTATTTAGATCGGCTCTGCAATAGCGACTTCCTTCTTCCCAATCAATTTTTATAAGGTAATTAAATTAATAAATTATATTTGATGGCTACAATATGCCAATTGGCACGCACTACAGCTCCTAAGTAGTTTAATGCTCAGGCAATCGCCTCGTTTGCTTAGTGCGTGGCCCCATTGACAAATATGTCTAAGTAAGTGGGATCGGTTGACTCTGGAAGAAACCGCTTCCTTTCACTGCAAGAAATTTCTCTCCATATGTGGTCAGCCACGCCTGATTTTTCCACTTCCCTTCTGTTACAGCTTTTGGTGTTCTTGAAGCCTTACCTTAAGGGAGCGGCCTTTCTTTCCGCAGCTAGTTAAGGCGGTGGAGAACTTGGAAAGGGGAATTAACAGGAAATAACTGATAACTGACATCCATTAAACATGGCACGTGGAACTAGAACAGTCTACCCCAGTGATCGAAATAAAGGGTTCAGTTCGACATTCCAACCACCTGAAGAAGTCCCGAGCGTACAACAGCCGAAATGTTGTGGTAAATATGGCGACAATGATGAGGACAATAGTCCGAATAATGTAAATAGTGTACATAATACTTCATCTCAGAAATATAGACAGATACTGAAGGTCAAGACTCATGTCAATTTTCTCTTTAAATAATTGAATGAAAGTTGAAACGTTTTTTTTTTGATTAGCTACATTCGAAGAATAACCTTATTTATTTATTTTTTTAATACCATTTCACTTTTTTTTTCCTTCCTCCTCTACACTACCCATTATTTAGTTTTTGTAATTAGTTTTATTTTATCAGTTACTTGAAATTCTATTTAAAGTAATCCCCCCAAATATATAATGGTAAATTTTTCATAGAAAACTTGTGAGCGAGTTGGTCTTGTTGACCGTTAACTACTACTGAGTAGTGAGTTCGATCTTCATACCGGTGGCTCTGTACAGCTTGTTTTTGCCCGAAGACGTGAAACAAATAAATGCAATGTTATAGTGAAGAAGGGAAAAAAAAAAAAACACATGTGAGGTATAGTGAATGTGATTTTTTAGCTAAAAAAAAAACAAAAAAAACTGATATCCACTTTTTCTTTTATTTAAAAAAAAATAAAAAAAATGTTTGTCATAGACATCTGTTTTACTGAAAATTTGAAACATTATTTTTGAAAAAGAATTTAAAGAAAGAGTGAAGTTGTTAACATAAAAAAATCAATTCTTTGATTTTTGAAAGTTCGTAAACTTTTTGTTTGAGCCATGACAGTTCAATTTAGAATTCCTTTCTAAAAATGAAACTTATAAAAAAATATTTTTAAAGATAACTTTAAAAAAAAAAGAATTAACAATATATTCCAAATAAAACAAAGGCTAAAAAGACGATTTCGAAAAAGACTTTTTAAAAAGTAAATATATCGGTAGTCATTTGTTTTCAGTACCTATTGTTAATAAAAAATCAAACTGTCCAATGAAAAAGTTAAAATTGTATGCATAGCAATTAAACTAATTAGTAGCTGTTCAATATCCGTGGTTACAAAATGGGGGATTAAATTGCATTTCAATAACAACTATATAACGATCCCCATTTTATGACTACTATGTTTATTCTACTTCAAAATTTAAAAAAGAAAATACTACGTGAAACAGCCTGGTGCCGCAAAAGAGGTTCTTGAGTTAAGTTAAAAAAATTATGAAACCACACCGCAAAGAAGAAAAATAAGCATGTGAATTTGAAAGATATTTTAATTCTAAGTTTATTTTTATATAAGAATTAAATAGCAGAAAGTCACCTGTGATTATAAAAGATTGTTTTAAACTATCTTCTTTCTATTTTTATTTTTTAGTTAATATTATAGGATTTTACGACAGCCGTTATCTGGTCTAACGTTGCAGAAGTGTTATGAGCTGGGCTCTGATGGCGCTTGGTAAGCATCGAGCATTTTTGGTACATCTGACATGTCTACTGTGAAAACAGCATCTAAACCAAGAAATTATACTACTAGCGATGCTGCCAAGGACTACCCCTTACACTGGCTTGTCTGGAATAATCAATATCAAGATCTGGAAGCGGAATTAAATAAGAAGATAGTAAGTAATATAGCCAAATATATTGCAATAATGACAATATTATGGTGGATTACGATACGCAAGAAAAAGTGTTCAAGGTTCGTTAGGACTTTTTTTTTTAAAAAGTTCTTCAATATAATATTTCTTGTGTAAGTGCATGCATTTTTTTATTCGATATCTCTTCGATAAACATCGTTGTCTTTGTGAATTGGTTTGTATTTTTTTCTTTTTATAAGAAATTTGAATATTTTTCTTGGTATTGTAATCCAGATTTGAACGACCACTTCCAAATTATGTGTTGGTGGGTTACAGATTACGGAAAAACGTGTTCAAGGTTTGTTAGGTCATAGTGTTCTAGAAAGTTTTTCATCGGAACAATCCAGTTTTAAGTTCGTGTTTTTTGTTCTTCGATTCTTCCATGTTAAATCTAAGGAATTGTTTTGCAATTTGGGATGTAATTTGGAAAATACATGACTATTTATTGTCCTTGGTAATTTGGTACTCGAACCAGAGTGAACGGCCATTTCCAAACCATTTCCGCTTTTTAAAAATGGTCCTCCCCTTTTTCAGGAACCCAAGCGAATAATTAAAGAGGGTTGAATTCTCATTTGAAAATATAATATTCATTATTGTTATTTAATGCTTCCAGTGTCGTGGAGTATAATTAATTACATTTTTTAACTGACAGTCTTTCAAATTTAAGTTGTCGGATTTCAAAACCCGGAAAGTAATAAAGAGAAAGGAGGGGGAAAAAAATCAATGAAGGTCATAATTTTCTTGTTTAGGTTTCGTTTATTTCTGTTGCAATTCTTAATTTATTTTATTCATAGTTGGAGAAATAAATAATGTCTGTCACCGTAAAGTTAAATTTCATTATTTTAATCTTTTAGTTACTTATTCAAATACCTCTCACCAAATGAATGAGAAATTTCGTTATTTTAAGGTAAGCTAAAATTAAAAAAATGTAGATAAGTTTTAAAATAAGTTATAGAGAATTATTAAAATTATATTTATTACAATTTACTTTAGCTGTGTAGTGTGTCACAATTTCATTTTAAGTTTTAAATTCCTTTCGAAACGGATCAGGTAATTAATTTTATCTGAGAAAAGTCGATTTTACTTCCCTTTTTTTTTTCTTTTTTTTTTTGTAGTAAGTATCACTTAAATTCACCATAACGTGAACGAACACCAATTCTTCCTATTCAGATATTTTTTATGACATATTTTTAATTTAATTAAAAAAAAAAAAATCAAAGTGTGGTAAAATGTTTTTATTTGAATATCATTACTTGCGACTTTTTTTTTACATTCAGTTGATTAATTTAAGTAAGAGTTAAAATAACTTTATGCAGCAGGTGTTACATTTTTTTTAAATATTTAGGTTATTTAAATATTGAGCTTGAATTCATAAATGAAAACAATGAAATTTTAAAATTAAAAAAATGCAAATTTAGACATTCATTAAATTTTAAAAATGCTTTTTAGTTAAAAAAAAAAAAAGTTTTAATTTAAAATGAAAAAGGTTTTTAAATTAATTGTTAACAATTTTTACTAACACAAGAACGCTTAATTTTTCGGTTATTTACTTTAAAAAATCCGATTACCATCAGTCGACACGGTAATTGGATTTTTCTGTTCTTTAGTCTAGAAGATGACTAGCCAAATTAATTCCCAGAAAAATTGCAGAAATTTTAATTTTCCTAAGAGAAATTAAAAATTAATGGTAAAACCCCGCCACATTGTTATCGTGTGCTTTCAAAAGTATAGAAGTGATTATCCTAAATGTTTTTATGAGCTATATAAGAAATAAATCAAATTCTTAAGATTTAAGACAGAAGACATTAATTGGCAATATTTTCCTATTTTGTCAGTCAGTAAATGTTGTTATTCCTTTCATGTTTTAAAAGATGAAACAATTACAAAAAGAACACTAAAAAAAACAAATTTAAAAACTGTTTAAAAGTGTTTCTCTTATCTTTGTAGTGATGATCTTTCTTTTCTTTTTTTTTTTTTTCGATTAAAACTGGTTATTTAAGAAGCACTTATTTTATGTTTATATTTTTTAATGACTTTTTCTACCTATCCCTTAAAATAAGTGTTTATTTAATCACCAAGGATTGAATTTGAAGTGATACTCTTGTAAAATTCCTAAACCTTGCATTTCATTTATTTTATTTGTTTATTTCAACAACACTTCAGAATCAGATGGAATATGGATAATTTACTAGTGTCAGTTTCGATTCTTATCAAATGTGATCAATAGTGAGTCAATTAATAAATTGGTCCCCCTGACCTTTTTCTCCCAGTTCTGTTGGGGTGGGTTGGGGAGATAAATTTCCTTCATTGCAATCAAATACTCAAAAATCAAAATTTATTTTTAAGAAAACAAAATTCAAATATATTGGTTTTTTTATCCAATAGACTTTTTTTGTGCAGTGGGTGATCACTAAATACTTAGGCAAGACTAATTTTATAGTAACTAGGTTTTGAATTCAGAATCTCCCCACCACCACTAGATTGGATGACAACCAAGCCTAAAGAGACCAGTCTGATCTGCTATTTTTAATTTTAACCCATAGCCAGGGAGAGGAGCTGGATTCGTACCTTTCTTAAGAGGGTGTTTGCATGAAAGCATTTTTAACAGTTTAAAGAAGGCATGTCAAACTTTTTTCTAGACCGAGAAAGGTGATAATTTTGTTTGAATGTCATGAGATAGAATTATTTTGGTGTCCATTGTTTTTATACACATTTATTTTCAATACAATCATTTTTATGCTTGATTTTTCATATTGATTTTTTTCCATAGAAGTTCAATGATTGATGTCTTTCAATCTTAAGTGAAATAAAATTCTTAATTTCGTTAAATATTAAACTATGTAAATTGTTTTCTTTCCTCAGTCATTGAAAAGTTGAAGTTTTCTAAGAGGAAGGGTGAAACTAGCTTTTGAACAAATTCTATTGTCCTCGACCTTGTCTCCTAATATCTTCAGATCATGTGTTTATTATATATATATATATATATATATATATATATATATATATATTATTTATTTTTATTTTTTTTAACCAAAGCAGGTGATGTTGGAACTGGGGACATTTTTGGGACTTATAAATAGGAAAAATTTACAAGAATATAAAAGAGTATTGATAGATTTCTTTACAAGGTATTGAAAAGTTCTTAACTTGATCAGGAAAGGATAAAAATTATCTGACATTTGCTGAAATTGTGTGAGGTGGGTTGGGCTGAGAACTATTCACTACATCACATAGTAATGACACTTATAAGAATACACATCATGTTTTGTATCCTGGCTTGTGGATTTTTTTTATTGTCAAAATTGAACTGAAAAATTGTCTTAATTCATATTGGTGATATGTAATTATATATTAAATCTCATGATTGTATATGAGAAAAATCTGTTCTCATGTGTTTTATTATTTTATAGAAATAAATTATTATTGAATAAACTTGTAATTTATTACAAGATACTACACAGCATTTTTTTACGTTTTTATGGAGTAATCTGAATCTCCACTCCCAAGATTAGTCATTAGTTTAAACATCTGATTCTCTCTCTCACATATATGTGTGAGAGCTTGGAATGAGAAATTGTAGAGCAGAGTTTGAATGCATTCAATAATACCGTGGGAAAGGGTTCTCTATGGGTTAAATAGTAGGGTAGCCAGGGTCAGTATCCAGTCTAAAAGGACAACTCTCAATTCAAAACCAGTAACTCCATTCCATAAAAATCTACTACTTGATATGTAAACAACTGCTACAAGGAGTTCAGAAAATTTGTCTGTATGACATATATATATATGTACCTCACAAATAAAAGCGATATCACAGTTTAATATTAATTTTTGAAAATGAAAAACCTTTCTTGAAGCCTTTATTTTAGCATCATTCCATGTCAAAACACCAGCAAAAAGTTGAAATCTGCACCCACCAACATCGAATTATTTGAAATTTGGCACAAATGTTCCCCTTCATGAGTTAGGAAAATTTACCAAATTATTTTGTGCTAGACTTTATCGTTCCAATTTTAAGCAGGGGTGTATAATTTTCCTATTTTGCCTCTAAATTAAGGCTGCACAACATCGCCGAATCTCAGTGTTATTTAAAAATGAAAGAAAAATACTTCCATACCTTCAATATTTTTTAAATTTAGTATGGAGGGCAAATAAGAAGTGTAGAATCCAAATATTTAACTATTTCAAGCCTACACTTGATAGGAAATTTTATTTTGCTCACCCAAATACATGACCCAAAAATCAACAACTTTTCACCTATGTAGCTTACAGTCAGTCTATTGAAAATACGTCCTCTTCCATTTTCATAATATTTTTTGCCTAACATCTGCAATGCCTGCTCAAGTTCACCAAAACATTTTGTGAGAATATTAAGTCTACATTAGAATATATGACCCTGCCAAGTTTAGAGTTTTTTCCTATGTATGTGCAGGATTTCAGAGAGATTATAATTAAAGACAATCATCCTAATGCTCCATGACCTCAAATGTTGATATTATGCGAAGTAACTTCTTAAACTATTCAATAAGATTGTTTTTATTAATTTAAAAATAAATTATTTAAATATATTTTGCAGATATTACTTTTTGTAAAGTTTTTTTTTTTCTTTAAAAAACAGTGAACATTGCCTCATGTATGATAATCAACAGTGCATAGAAAATTTGTAAATGGCACTTAACAATTGAAGTTAAATAAATTCTTTCTTTTTGTGTTTCTTTTAATTTTATTTTGGTAAATTATTTTCATGAAACAAAACATTTGTTTTTTTTTTGTTTTTTTTTTCATTCTCCAAAAAGTCATAAGATAAATGTGAATCTTTAAAACATAATATTTGAAGTTGGCACTTAACATATTTATATAGTTGAAGGAAATGCTTTCATTACTTTTTTAAATTTTTATTTTTTAAATAACTTTTTGAAATTATTTTCATGAAACAAAAATATTTGATTTTGTTTTAATCAGAACAAAGTCATAATAAAATTGAATAT